GTGAATTTATATGTTATGAAATTATCTTTCAAGTTATTTATGGAAAGTAAAATAAAAATGAATTTAAAATATATAATTATGGATTTTATGAATTTAAAATATAAATTCTTTAAAATAAAAAACGAATGTACAAGTATTTCACAAGTTATTTATCGAAAATCTAAAATTATTTTTCAAATTTCTCTATCAAATAATTTGACAAGTTAAATTGATTGATTTATGAAAAATATAAAAAATTTGATTTAAAATTTACGAAATTATTTTACAATTTATTTATGAATTTATGTGTTTGTATTGATAAGTTATATATAATATTTATAAATTTATGGAAAATAAAAATGAATTTAAAATATAAAATTATGGATTTGTGAATTGACAAGTGTTTTACAAGTTATTTATGGAAAATATAAAATTATTTTTCATATTGGTTTGTGTGTTTTAATTCATATTTTATATATAAAAGACTAGAATTTATTAATTGTTCTATCAAATTATTTTACAACTTTCTTATATATTTTACATATTTTAATTTAATAATTTTTTTTAATTTTATAGGCGGATCGACCACCTTCATACAGACAGTTATTTGGCGAGGATGCTACGATTCCCAGATTTGTGGATGGTCGTCGCGGATCAGGTTCAGGATCAGGGTCGGGTTCGCATGCTGCGAACTATCATCCACGGGCTCCACCACGAGCTTATGAACGAGCTCCGCCACCGCCATCGCTTCTGCCTGAGGCAGACGAAGACGAAGCAGATCATCCCGATGATCACGATGAGACCCTTCTACCGCCAAACCCGCCTCTTATGATGCGGATTAGTGAGTTTCTCCGCCAACCTGGACGTGAGACACGGGTTAGAGTCCTCCATCCGTTTAAGCCACCACACACTTTTTGGTATAATTAATTTTTTTTTGCAATATTACTAATTATTTTTTTTGGGATAATTATTTTTAATTACAAGTTTTATTTAAATTATTAATATCTAAATATCTTGTTTTATAGGTTTACCGATAACTGCGTTGCTCGTTCGGTCACCAAAGCCATCATGGCCTATTTCACTATGCCGCATGCTAATTGGAGCCAGACGCCGCAGTCTATTCGGGATATTTGGTTTGAGTCATGGACGGTAAGTA